CGTACCAGCTGTAGTAGCCGATGTAGTGTCGGAGCAAAGGCCTCCTTGTGGATGTTATGGTCTTATTCTTTTAGCGTAGTAAGTTCACGATGGTAGCTTGGTTGTGAGCAGAGGAGGGCGAGCCCAGAAAGCTCTTGCAGAGGCCGAATGCGGCCAACTACCTCTGTTACCCCTGTGGGGTTGTTGTTTCTCACATTAGCTCTATAGTCCACAAAAAATGGGGAGCCCGTGGTCTCAAAACCCGGCACATACGACGCCGCGAGAAAGCATAAAAACAAAAATAGGGTACAAACCACTCGGAAAAAGAAAACAAAATGATCGAAAGAAAAGAACAGGTATCGCACCGACCGTTCGAGAAAAGAGCCCTCGGACACAGACAAAATACAACAAAACAAAAATAACAAAAAAATAAAGGAGGACGCTTCCCACACCCGCCGAAAGAAAAAATCAAAGGGTAACGTACCAGCACCAGGCACTGCGCACCAGGGCATGGGAGTAACGGAGCAAACAGGGCAAAGAGGCGGCAGATGGGCAGACAGCCAGCCGCACAAAAAACAAAGGCAACAGCAAAGCGAGATCAAGGTACCCAACACAGCAGAGCAGGCAGGGAGGTCATGAAAAAAAAGAAACACAGCACAGAGGCCGAAGGCAATAAAAGGACATACATAAAGGAGTATAGCATACGGCAGGGAGGGAAACCGGGCGCAACAACATCAGCCGGGTGCATAGTTCGCCACAAGCGTTGCCTCGGCCGCCCTACTCGCTTCTACAGCAGTGCCCGGTCGCCGTTTCTTCCCCCCCACCGCCGCTTCCCCGATTCTCTTTCTCTCCGGTCCCGAGGTGGTCGTACTCTCTGCTTCTGCTTCCCGCGCGCGCTGGCGCTTCGCGGACGCTTCCGCCTCCTGCCTGTGCCATTTCCTCATGAACCATGCCGCCCCGTCCTCGACCTTGTTGTACCACACCTCCGAGTTCTTGGCGCTCTCTTTCCATTTCCCCCCTTCCTTTTCGTCTCCCATGTTGAAGGCCACGAGGTCCTCTCCTAGACGAGACACCCAGTCGCTCTCCTGCCCGCCCCGGTATCCCACGCCCCCCGCCATCGCTCCTAACAGCATGCGCTTGGGGAGGCGGTTGTCCTCCATGCGCATAACGAAGCCCGCGAAACACAGTCTCCGTTTGCGCACGGTGGCCTCGATGGTTTCCTCGCAGCCTGCCTGGATGAGGGCCTGGGCATAGGGGGACTGTGGGGGTGTACTTGCTCAACAATAAATGACCCGAACCGCAACAAACGTACTCTCACAGAGAGAGGCTGATTTTCCATTGCAACCAGGAACAAAAACCAGTCAACAGAGCTCCATATCGTACAAATCCACCAATACATGAGGTTATTGACAAATGTGTTGGTGAAATGGAAGAAGCTGGGATAATCGAACAAAGAGCGAGCCCATGAGGGTCAGCAGGAACGTCGGTAGCAAACGCTGACGGCAGTACCCGATTCTGTGTAGATTACAGAGCGACGATCAACGAGAATGTAGTTCGTAAATCGTGGCCAATGCCAGAAATGGCATGTCATATTGACACAGTTGTTGTTGTTGTCTGCACAGTAAACCGTATGTCAGTTGCCAAATGCCAAAATCTAGCAAAAGACTCTCAGCCCGTGGTCACGAAAGTGCTAGAGCCATCTGAGGATCTAAAGAACACACACACATACAACGAGAAAAAGGTATCCAAGAGCCCGAAGAGGTACACCTAAAAATCCCTGCAGCACCGTATGCGTGCCCAAAAACTCAATTGCACGTCCGTCCCACCGATCGACTACAGTAGCATCACCCCCTCGCTGTCCCACTCTATACCAAAACGAACGGAAGATTGCCGACTACAGCATACTGCTGTCTGAAGTGCTGTCTGTACAAAAACACCATGGTAGGCATGGAACAAGAAGCTGGCGGGGCACAAAGCTGCTGTCTGAAGTGCTGTCAGAATGTGTCTGCGGACGTACAGTGAAAAAGAACAACCAACCAAAGCCATGATTGCAATGGACAATCACCCGAA